TGCTTCTGTTTAGAAGGGAAATTTAATGAGGGATTTCAATTTTCACTTCACTGCTGGGTCAGAATGAGGGGATGTTAACACCTACCTTCAAATGGGGAGGCAATATTCCCAGTTTATAGTGCTATAAAAATGCAACTGCTTCCCATGGGAAAGGAACTCCTTTGGGTGCCTGGAGAGCAGTTAATGAAGAGAGAGAATGAAAAAAAAAAAAAAAAAATCCAGAAACTTGTACGGTGTCTGCCCCTTAGGGCAGAGATGGTTCAGAGGTAAAGGTGCTTGCCACCAAGCCTGACCAAGTGCACAAGACATGACCAGTGACTCCCACCCCCACCAAATAAATACATGAGTGCTAAAAAATAATTTTGAAAGAAAGAAAATGCTCATCGAGGTGGCACACACTTTTAATCTCAGCGTTGGCAGAGGCAGGTGGATCTCTGTGAGACTGAGGCCAGCCTGGTCTACACAGGGAGTTCCAAGCCAGCTGCGGCTACAGAGAGACCCTATCTGAAAGACAGACAGAATATGAAAAAGAAAGAAAGAAAGGAAGGAAGGAAGGAAGGAAGGAAGGAAGGAAGGAAGGAAGGAAGAAAGAAGACAGACAGAAAGAAAGTCTCCAGTCTTTAAAAATTTATACATAGTGCATAGGAAGGTGGTGTCACCTTAAGCTCTGCTAAAGAATCAAGAGGAATAATTTTCCCTTTAGTGAGCCCTTGTGCTTTTCCTTCCAGGACCCTCTGTGCCCCCGCAGTGTCTTGCAGAGAGCAAGTATGATGCTTTGCTAAGTTTGCCTTATTTTCTGAATGACTCAGAAAAGCTTAGTTTTCCTTTCCTTTTTTCTATCTTTGCTTTTCCTCACACTCTATGTTTCCTTCCTCTTTCCCTAACGTTCCCTCCCCTCCCCCACTCCCTGCCATGTGGATGACCTCCATGCTAGCTTAATTCAAACAGCATGGCCAATCCCTTTCTTCCCCATTCTCTTCCAGCAGCTATAGAGATTTACAGTTTGCCACCCTGGGCTTTTTCTTGTAAACTCTAATAAAATTGCTTTGAGCTTCTCTTTGAGTTCATTAAGTTGTTTGTTGTTGTTGTTTTGAGACATGGTCTCCCTGTAGTCACAGCTGGACTGGAATTCACCATGTAGACCAGGCTGGCATTGATCTCAGAGATCCACCTGCCTCTGCCTCTGAAGTGTGGGGATTAAAGGCATGTGCCATTATGCATGGCTTAAATTTTTTTTTTTTAATTAATGAGACTAAAAGCTCTTAAGAGGGGACCTCAATTTCCCCTGTAATCTGGTGGCCACAAAGAGGCACTGCAAAATTTCCAGTAACACTGATCAATCATATTTTATTTTGCCTGATTTTCCCAAATTATTTCTATAAAACTTTTTTGGAGGAAAAAAACTATATTCTGCCTACTCAGGGGAGGAGGTTAGACAGTGACGGGTGGAATGAACTGGAATTCTGCTCTGCTGTAATTGCAGTGACAGCTATTTATATTTTTTATTCTTTCACACTTGTTACCAATAACTAAAACTTATAATTTACAGAGTCCCTCTATTTTATTAAACTCCTCAAAACCACATTGCAATGTTGTCATTTTGAGGAACCCCAATTTACAGAGGAGGAAAATGAGGCTCAGGAAGGTCAAATGGCTCATTCAGGGTAACACTGATGATTTGTGCAAGACTCAGATCTGTGTCCTGTCTACTATTTGGCATAGGTATGCAATTTCAAGACAGTGTATGACATTTTCTTTAGCCTAATGATCTCTCAGGAAACTACTAGAATCCAGCTTAAGTGAAGGAAAAAGACTGGATGGGGCTTGGTCAGAGTTAAGTCAGCAAGAGCAAACACTGCAATCTAGGGCTGAAATGCCTGCGTTCCTCAAGGAGGGTCCCTGGCAGCCACCCTGTATGTCAGGCCCAGGGTCTCCCTAAAGGATGCTGGTGAAATAAACCTCTCTCTTCTCTCTCTCCCTCCCTCCCTCTCTCCCTCCCTTTCCTGCTTTCATGGACTCACCTCTGTCTCAAAACTCTTCTTTGAAGCAGGATGAGACCAGACAGAATTTTGACATGGATGAACAGGGCAGTAACCACAGTAAACTATTAGAACAGCTTCTGTGTAGTTAGCTGATTGCTGCAGGATGTCTTTCCATTCAACCCTCAGAGCACTCCTAAGGAGTAGGTTGTCATTCACTGATGAGGAAACTGAGGCTCAGGGCCTCTGACACCTGCTGGGCCCTGACAAAGTGGGGAAGGCAGCTGAGAGATCCACACTGCAGAGCCTGGAGCCCACATGGTAAACTGACTTCAGAAGTGCCCTGTACAACTCTAGATTTCAATACACACACACACACACACACACACTACCCAGTATGTGACGGCATTCTTCACACATCTGATGCTTCTGGGGGTGTGGTTACTTCCTAAAGAGTGATAGCTGGGACAGCTGTACAGGCTGTTCTTGATCTAGAAACTTGACTATCAATTTATCTGTTTATCCTCTGCCATTTCCTTTCCTTTCCTTTCCTTTTTTTGTTTTGTTTTGTTCATTTTGTTTTGTTTTTAAAACCAGATCTTGGGACTGGAGCGACAGCTCAGTGGTTCAGTGGTTAAAAGCATCTGCTATTCTTGCAGAGGACCTGGGTTTGGTTCCCAACACCCACATGGCTGCTAACAACTACCTGTAACTCCAGTTCCAGAGGATCCGATGCTCTCTTCTGACCTCTGTCTGCATTGCCTGCACAGGTACATTTATACATAATATGCAGGCAGAACACTCAAACACATTAAATAAAAATAAATAAAAAACAAAGTCTTGGGTCTGGAGAGATGGCCCAGCAGTTAAGAACAAGCTAACAACTGTCCGTAACTCCAGTTCCAGGGGATCCGACAGCCTCTTCTGTCCTCTACAGGCATTGCATGACAGTGGTACACTTAACACACATGCAGGCAATACATTCATGCACATAAAATAAAAATAATAAATAAAATAAAATAAAATAAAATAAAAAAGTCTTATTATATTGCCAGATCTGCCTTTGGTTGAGATAACTCTGCCTAAGCCTTCAAAGTGCTGGGATTACAGGCCTGAGCCACCATCACACTTATTTTTTTAAAAAATTAAAAATTTTGCTGGGCGTGGCAGTGCACGCCTTTAATCCCGGTACTTGGGAGGCAGAGACAGGCCGATCTCTGTGAGTTCAAGTCCAGCCTGGTCTACATAGTGAGTTCCAGGACAGCTGGGGCTACAGGGAGCCCCTGTCTCAAAAAGATCCCCCCCAAAAATTAAAAATTTTGTGTGTGTTTGTATACATGCATGTTACATGTATGCAGGTACCCTCAGAGGCCAGAAGACAGTATTGTATCCCATGGAGTTACAGATGGTTTGGAGTTGGCTGGGTACTGGGACCTGAACTCCGGCCCTCTGGAGAGCACTGAGCACTCTTCACTGCTAAGCCATCTCTCTAAGCCCCTGGTTTTTCCTTTTTTTGGTTTTGTTTTTGAGACAGGGTCTCATGTAGCCCAGGTTAGCCTCAAACTTGCCATGTAGCTGAGAAAGACCTTGGGCTCCCGATCCCCATGCTTCTACCTCCCAAGTGTTTGGGTTACAGAATGAACCACTACCACACTTGATGGCTTCTCCTTTCTCCTCTTCCTCTCTTCCCCCTCTTCTTTCTTTTCTGAGACAGGGTCTCATGTAGCCTAGGCTGGCCTAGAACTCCCTATATAGCTGAGGATGATTTTGAACTTCTGACCTTCCCACCACCACTTCCTGAGTGCTGGGACCACAGGTGTGCACCACTATGCCAGGCTCATCTGTCTTCTTAAAGCTTAAAGAGCTTGACTGGTTTTATTTCCAATTATAGAATCAGGCAACACTTCAATAAAGTACTTTCATTTTCTCTCAGTTTAAACATACTAGTCGTTGTTGACTGTCATGATTCTTTCAAAGCATTTCTTAATAAGTTGAAAAAAATATAAAAGTGGTTCATCCCCCAATACTGCAAACAACCGAAACTGAAAACAGAACAAAAATTGCACGCAGGCAGGCACACACACACACACACACACACACACACACACACACACAGGATGAGAGAGTGGTGAGTGAGTGACTCATGGGGTATTAAGTGGAAACCCCAACTCTATCCCTCTGGATGGGCAGGTGAGGAGAGCGGATTACTACTCAAGAGCTGGAAGTTGTCAGGCTTGGAAAACATTATTTTATCAGTCTGTTAAGGAGCATATTATTCAAAGGCTTGGCTGGGAATGAGTACTAGGTGATCTGTAAATAATCTCTGGGTGAAGTTTACAGAAGTAGAATGCTAACGTGGCAGAGGCCAGGCTTTCAATGGGTCATTGGCCTGGGTGCTGCTTCTCATCAGAGGCCTCCCCTCCACCTTTAACAATTTCCACTTCTCCACCTTCTGCTATCGCATTAAAGGGACAGTATCAGAGAGGGTGAATTCAAACACAAATGTTCTCTGATGATGTGGCCAGAGAGGCAGTTAGCAGCAGTGTCTGCAGCAACAATACAACTGCTAGGTCAAGTGTGTGAAGAGTGAGGCCCCTTCAGGGCAGCTGCACAAGAAAGCCCCTATTAATCCCTTAACTAAGCAGCTGATGGATTTAATCTGTTTCTGCACACATTGGAACCCTTTACACTCAGCATCATTATATGTTTTAAAAAATCAGTACTAGTTACTAAAGCTTTTTATAGATTTCTTCATCTTAATAATTAAGGTGATTGAATTATTAGAGCCTTGGAGGACTTCAGACTCTAATTCTCTCTGGCTTGAAAAATAGTAAGAAAGGGTCGTTCTCAGATTCATTCACAAAAAGAATAATAGGTCTCTATTTGAAGAGAGAAGAGCTGGGAGGCTCCTGCTTTGGGATCTGCTCTCTTTTGATTTTGCATCCATTGTTATTTAAAATAACTCATACAATGATTGTGGAGCATTATTTTACATAGTAATATCAGAAAAGGAATCATTACCTGCTGTAATCTCCTTTGGCTTCCTGAAATAAAAATAAAGACATGATCAATATGTATTTATGCTAAGCTCAATGAATGAATTATCCCTGGTTATTTTCCCTCTCAAAGTTCAGAGCTTTCTGCTGAAAGGTACATAAGAAATACTATCCCCATGGTCATGAACAAGAATGCCATATTGATAAGAAAACACCAGTATATCTTATCATTAAGAGAAGAGGCTTATGACTATATATTTTGTAATATATATGAAAAAGTACAGATAATTACTTCTCCTTACATTTCTAGGATCACATGCTAAACACTCTTGCATTCAAGTGTCACATTCTTTAGATTAGACTTTTTAAACCATGACCCCAGTAAGTAAACAGACAATATTTGTTTTCTCTTTACTATTTAAAGAAATTTTATTTATAATTTTTATTATTTTTCTCTTTACTTTTTAAACGACTACAGAAACAGACTTTGCTATTTTAGTCACTGGTGCCTTTAAGAATTAAAGGGCTCTTTACACACCCTCAAGAAAATGTATACAAAAGTTACTAAATTTAAATGAAAATTACAGCTGTTCTAACAACTGCTGCCTCCCAAATTCAAGGAACTCAAGAGTTCTCTTTCAAGAATATGATCTGAACTCTTTTCCCTTGGAGCAGTCTACATTTCATTTTTTTTTTCTTTTTTGAGAAACACTATCACATTATTGCTCATGCAAATGATTTTAAAAAGAATTCAGAGGGTCACAGTTCTCATGACAAACAGCTAACTGGTTTCAGAATCCATCAGATACTGACCTAGCGCAAAAGTTTCAGAGTTGCAGGCAAGTTAGGAGAAGCCAGGAAACAAAAGGGAGCTGCAGAAGGCAGGCGTGAACTCTTACCTGCAGAACCAGGGCTGCCAACTTGAAGATGGTCTCACTGTCTACTTCGATTTGTTCCTGTGGATGGAAGAGGAGCACATCACTGAATACAAGGGCTGCCCAGGGTGGAAGCAAAAGGCTCTGGAGCTGGAGAAGCTGTCACGGCTTGGCACCTCCAGTTTACGATCAAATGCAGAACATACCATTGCAAAGGAGGGGGGTGTGCTGAGAGCTCAGGGAAGGAGGAGTGTGTGTGTGTGTGTGTGTGTGTGTGTGTGTGTGTGTGTGTGTGCGCGCGCGCGCGTTAAGGGGAATTTTGCTCAGAGAGCAATATTGGGGAAAAATGAATAACTTTTGGGCTTGAAAGTTTAAGTAATCTCTAAGTTTATAATTTTATTTTTTTCTCTCTGCAAACTAATTTTTAAGTTCTGTAGATTTTTCTAGATTTGTTTGTAGTGGGTTTTCCTGAGATAATCACCCCACCCCACCTCCCTGTGTCACAGCATGGTTATTTCAGTACACACACAATGCAAATATTATTAAAACATAAATTCACTTCATTGTCAGTGACATATTATTAATATCTGCTCTATTCTAGCTAAAATGAGAAGTCTTAAAAATCAGTCACGTTAAATGCTGAAGTCTAAAATTCTGTTGTTTTGCAAGTTTGATGATGAACTCTAATTTATCATTTTTCCTTTCTTTTATTTCTTCATCCTTCAAGATATGAGGGAAAGTTGGAGTTCTAGGGCTTTGGTTAACAAGAATGATTTCTTCAGTAGTCTAGTAGACATGTACAACTATCTGGAAAGAGTATTCCAAGCACCTTTACCTGTATCTTTAAATGGTGACATATGTAAGTTTCAGGACTGTATTGTGTAAGCCAGTATAGAGGAATTTTTAATTTAAAGTATTTGGGGAAGTACAGGAGCTAGTAAGTATGAACACATGTAGAAATAATTCACCAGCCCAGCCTTGTTAAGTGCAGCATAATTAGCACTTGGAAGTGCCTGTTTAAGGGCTGGGAAAGTGCCTGCTGCTCTTTCTTCCTTCCTTTCCTTGTCGAACCTGAGCTGGAGTATTTCCTAGTGATCCCAAGTACAACTCTAAAATAATTTTGAGCCCATGTACAATAGCAGATTTACAGGGGTAGTTATCCTCAGTGAGAGTTTCTGGAAAGATTAAACTTGTCTCCTAGCATTCCAAGCGATTTGATTAGAGTTCACAGACAAAAAAACCCAAACTAATAATAATTCTTATAAAAGCCATAAAATGAAATAAGCAACAGCAAAGAAAACCAGGGCTGGCCAGAGAGCTCAGCAGGTAGCCAACCTGGCGATCTGAGCTCAATCACTGGGACTCGTAAAGGTGGAAGAAGAGAATCAACTCCACAAAGTCACCCGTTGGTCTCCAGATGTGCACTATGTCTTGAGCTCCCGCCCCCATCTTTTGTATATGAGAGCTAAAAACGAAGTAAACCCCAGGGTTTTCTAGCAGTGATAATTATTCATGTTTCCCTTATATTAGAAAATGAAAACAAATAATTTCAGCTACCTAAGGACAGTCCTCCATTCTGAAACTCAAGGCAGAAGATCTACTTCAAAGGAAAGATGACAGACCCCAAGCCTTGGAATTCAAAGCTCGCCCACAATCTCTAAAGAACCGATTACAAAATCAAAGAAAGCTAAAGAAAGCCAGGCTAAGCATGGGAATCAATGGCCCTCTGTCTTCCCAGCAAGAAACAGTGGTCTTCTAATCTGGGAGAGATGATGAAGTGGTTAATCCACCAGGTGAGGTGGGTGTTGATCAGATTACATTTAAAGAAGGTTAAATTCCTTAAATTCAAACACAAAGAAACTCCTGGAGGAGAAGAGAGACTCCGAAAGGACAACCCCCAAACATCCCTGGCTTTGAAAATAGTCCAGGACTCAAAGTTAAAGTCAAATTTGTCTTAATGTCTCAGAGAAGAGAAAAGGTGTATTATTTGGGGATTACAAAAACCAAAGATGAATAAAGTGAACTGAAAATTCCTGCTAACCCCTTGGATCCCCACTGACTCCCTTTGCCTCCTCAGAACCTTGGGTGAGTCATCTGAAAAGTATTCTAGACACCACCTTTTCAATTTAGCAAATGGGAGTTGAGCAGACAGATAAAAAGAAGATACCTAAAGCAGATATCTCCGAGGAAGCTGCCATTAAATATTAAAAATGCTGAAAGGAGGAACTGAAGCATGGAAAGTACCAGACAGTGCCAAGTTACAGGGTTCAAACACTCGGTCACCTGTGCACTTTCCAACCGAACATGGCCCAGGCTCAACTCTGATTGGGGAGGGTAAAGATGGGATAAAGGAACGATGTCTTAAATCTTGTTCCAGGTAGAGAAGAAAATCCATGGCTTGGCAAAAGCGCCAAGTTACAGGGTTCAAACACTCGGTCACCTGTGCACTTTCCAACCGAGCATGGCCCAGGCTCAACTCTGGTTGGGGAGGGTAAAGATGGGATAAAGGAACGGTGTCTTAAATCTTGTTCCAGGTAGAGAAGAAAATCCATGGCTTGGCAAAAGCCCCAAATTCTTTTATAATCCTCAGTCCCCACCTCACCCTATGCATAACAACCTATTCTCTAAATCCAAGTCCTAATTCTGATTGCCAGTGTTATTAGAATCCCTCACAGAGTTAGTCCACTAAACAATGCATCCATCAAGAATAACCCTATTTGCCCAGTTCCCAGCAATTTCATTTGGCAAAATTCAATTAAGACTTACAAAGAACTATAAAAGTTCATGCCTAAAATATCAATGTTGTTTTAAAACTGCAGACTGCCCAGAGCAGAAGATTTCTTTTACCTCCAACCATGGCAACAGAGGTAATTATATTCAGGGCAAGCTAACACTTGAGAGAGGGAGCTCCTCAAGAGAAAGGTGAGGAGATTCTCCAGTGGGTTTCTAAGACTGCCAGGGATAAACAAAGAGAACCAGAGCCATGAGTCAGATGATGGGATTGAATGCACAAAGGTAAAATGAGAGTACCCTGTCCCAGTGCTATACCCTCACAGCTAACAGAGCTGCATTAGGAGTGCAACCCCCAGGTCGTGGTTCACCTTGGATCTCTCACTGTGCTAACTAGGTGAATTCTAGGTCTTGATCGTCAATGAAGGGGACTGAGTAAAAGAAAGTTCTAGGACTGAAAAGAGAGTTTAGTGAAAAGATGACCCAATGGTTTCAAAGAAGACTGACGGCAATGAGAATCAGGGAGACGGCTTGTGACATCCAGTCTCCTTGCATGTGATGACCCCAGACTTCCGGTTCAGTGTTCTGTCCATTCTGCTATGTTTAGTTAACCTTCTCTAACTCCATTGCCACATCTCTCAGCAACAGTCTGGATTCAGGAATGACTGTGGAAAATGATTCAAGATGTTACCTCCATTGATAGGGGGACAATATGTCATCAACAAATGTACCCTTTCATAGTAGAATGGGAGACTCAATTCTGAAGATCCAGTCAGTTTATCCTACTGGATGTTGTACTCGATAGAAAATTACTTTACACTATAGCCATGGCTATTAATGACCTGTTATAACAAAACCTGCTTTATAACAACCTGTTATAAACTGACAAACTGTTAAGAGATGCCAAGGATGCTTCCTAATTTCACTAATCATCTATTTTAGGGCTTAATATTTTAAACTTAATAGTTTATATTAAAAAAGAAGCTATAGAACACCGAAAAATAAATGGAGAAGATGCTGAGGCTGTAGTTCAGTGAAAGAGCATTTGCCTAGCATTTGTGAGGACCTAGACCCAAGCCTGAGGACTGCTAAAAGCATCAATAAGCAAATAAGTGTAGACAAAATGGAAGAGAAAATTACTATTTGCAATTATTACAGCACTAATGGATTTAGTACTTGGTGGTGGTGGTGGTCTTGTATTTATGATTCTATGCATGAATTCAGACCCTCATATATACCTGGCAAGTGCTCTGCAACTGAGCTACATGACCAGAGCCCTAAGTACAGTCTTCAATAAATAAAAACTATTAATGAAAGTCTGATTACAAATAGGACAGGATAATTATGTTATCACTATGATGCTATGACTATCATCTCATCCTATATTGCTTATTAATTACAAAGGGAAAAATAGTGAGTCTTCTTCATAGGAGAACCTGACAGATGCTATCTCAACCCAATGACCAGAATACCAAAAGGAGAATAAAAAAGCACTGTGTGCCGAGGAGACAGACAGACCGGCACACACGCACGCACACATACAAAATGTGCTATGCTGATAAGTGTAACTAGCTCACAACTGGAAACCAAGAGGTGGACAAAACTCTTATTTACAGCATTTGTTGATTTATATGTTTTCTATATGGTTAATAAGCCCCACCATGGTCTATTTCAAGCTACCAATATAATTCCGCTGAACACAGGATTGGAAAGAGATGTGAGAACTGACTCCCAGGAGCTGGTACAAGCTGTCTCCAGCATACCATTGTGTAGAATTCCTGTCAAAAATAAATCACTAGATCTCACAGTGAGGAACCATGAGACACAAGCAAACTGAGGGATATTCTATAAAACATCCAACCTACACTCATACCACTGCACTGAGCACCAAAGTAATGGAGATCACAGTGTTACAACCACTGAACATAGTGTGTTATCCCAGATCAAGAGGGAAGGTGAGGAACTGGAGAGATGGCTCATCGATTAAGAGCACTGGCTGCTCTTACAGAGGACCTGCGTTCAGTTCCCAGCACCCACCTGGTGGCCTACAACTATTTGTAACTCCAGTTCCAGGGGATTTGATTCTCTCTTCTGACCTCTGTGAGCATCGCATGACATGGGTGCACTTACACACATGCAGGCAATATACCCATACACATGAAATAAAAATAACAAATAAAATACTAAAAAAAAAAAAAGAGGGAGGGTAAGGAGAGTGGGATGATGAACTGTATTAGGTAACAGTATGAGTTCATTGTTAAATGCTCTGAATATGATCACAGTAATGTAGCTACATAAGCGATATCCTTGATCTTGGGAAATGCATGGCATACTTAGGGGTAAACTACTAT